TATATATGTATGTATGTATATGTAGATAGGTAGGTATGTATGTAGGTAGGTAGGTAGGTATGTCTATGTATATTAATATGTATCTACCATGTATATCCCCGACAGAATCAACTCTGTAAAGAGCCCATTTGAGCTATAGTCTAAACTCCTAGTATCCCTTTGATAACCCCTATAGTAGTCCCCTATATAATCCCCTATAACCCCCTTTAAGGAGTTTAGACTATAGCCCATTTAGCTCTTACTTCGACGCGGCATGGGCTGGGGAGTGGGCTGACTGAAGGTAGTGTAGGGGGTCTACGAAGCTGTAGGTCATTGGGGCTACGGGTAAACCCAAAACCTTGAATCCTAAAATCTACACACTAACCCCTAAAATCTAAGCCCTAAAGCCTAAACCCCAAGCCCAAACCCTACCAGTGGAGCTTTGAACCTGAACCCTGGCCTTAACCCTAGGTTTAAAGCATACCTAACCCTATGAAATTGGGGGTTACGTGTTGACCCTAAACCCTAAACAACTTCAGTCGCTGCCAGAGCATTGTCGGGCTGGCAGCAGTTCCGCCGGGCGTAGGAGCTCGATAGTGGGTTCCAGCCGGGCCTTTAGCAGCGTTGGGTTTAAGTTTTTAGGGTTTAGGTTTAAGGAGTTGGAGCTTCAGGGTGTAAGGTTTAGTGATTCAGGGCTTTTGGGGGTTTGAGTGCACCCGATAAGCTCCATCCCTAGGGTGAGTTTGTCATCTGCAGCCCAAGCGCCGCAGGTGCTTTCGGTACCGCTGGACGTGCAGGCGCGGCCTTCGGCCTTCCGAGCCAGACCGGCAGATTCTCAAAGGGTTTACCCAGAGGGTCCATGTACCCATTAACTAGGTACTTGGGATTTGGGTAATAGTGATTATAGTACAGGTTTTGGGTAAGTATATGATTATTAGGTACTTGGACCCTTAGGGTTTAGGGGTTTACGGCATGGGGGTTTAAGGCGCAGGTGTCTTACCTACAGATTGGGAGTACTGACCCCCGAAGGAGTAGATGTAACCCAACAAACGGTAGGCAATTGGAATTACAAGTGGAGTCTGAGGTTCAAGGGGGTTCGGGCTTGTAGTGTGTGTGCTGCAGGCTTTAATCATCAGGACAGGTCAGTTGCCCGAACTCTTTAACTGGCATCCTACTGCTATTACAACTACAGCTGCTACCACCACCACTACTACTACTACTACTGCTGCTGCTGCTGCTACTACTACTACTACTACGACTACTACTACTACTACTACTCCTACTCCTACTCTACTACTACTACTACTACTACTACTACTACTACTACTACTAGTGCTACTACTGCTGCTACTACTACCACCACCACCACGACTACTACTACTACTACTACTACTAGTACATTTAGGAAAGTAGATCGCGTGGCTGACCAATCTGCTAGGATAGCAGAACAAGGCTCCCACACAACCAAAGTCCTGGCCTCAATGGCAGCAGCGATGCGCTGCAAATCAACATCCGACACCTTGCATTAATAGTATACTAGTAGTAATTGTAGTAACAATAGCAAAATATTAATAGTAATAGTAAGAGCAATGATAGCAATACTGATAGTACATAATCATAGTACTAATAATAGCAGCAGCAGCAGCAGCAGCAGCAGTAGCAGTAGCGGTGGTCGTGGTGGTCGTGGTCGTGGTCGTTGTCGTCGTCATGGTCGTGGTCGTGGTTGTGGTCGTGGTCGGTCGTCGTGGTCGTGGTTGTCGTCTTGGCCGTCGTGGTGGTCGTCGTCTTTATCATCGTGGTCGTGGTCGGGGTTGCATCGCCGTGGTCGTCGCCGTGGTCGTCGCCGTGGTCGCCGCCGTGGTCGTCGCCGCGGTCGTCGCCGTGGTCGTCGCCGTGGTCGTCGCCGTGGTCATCGTCGTCGAAGTAGAAGCAGTAGTAGTAGTAGTAGTAGTAGTCGTAGTAGTAGTAGTAGGAGCAGTAGTAGTAGTAATAGTAGTAGTAGTAGTAGTAGAAGTAGAAGTAGTAGTAGTAGTAGCAGCAGCAGCAGCACCAGCAACCGCAGCAACCGCAGCAGGGTGACGCTCTTGGGTAGCCGGAGCCAAGGAATTCAAAGGAACGTGGAAGCTACTGTATTATTCACCTCCACCTGAAAGTTAAACCCCCACCCCCTAATTGTAGATATTCCCAGCGTGGTATATCAACATATGTTGAACATATTTAATACTAGGGGATGCGGGGAGTTTTATGATTAAGGGGAGGGGATTGTTCAGGGTTTACCATGTAAGGTGGTCAGCACCAAATCAACGAAAGCGACATGATGCATTCTGGGACTACTGCAGAGAGCCATGCCTTCCTAACTCACCAACCACAAGCAGAACCGTCAAACCCTAAACCCTAAACCCGAAACCCTGAACCCTAAACCCGAAACCCTGAACCCTAAACCCTGAACTCTAAAGCCAAAACCAATAAGAGCCACTCCAGAGCCCGAAGCCTCGGCCTTTTGCACAGCTTGTGCCGCGCCCTTCTTTTTTGTTGTTGCCTCGGGACTTCCGCGAACTGCATTCTGCTTCACACGAATTACTACACTTACTACTACATACTATGACTATTGCTACTATTACAGCTACTAGACAGCTACTATTACTATCATTACAACAACTACCACAATCATAACTATTACTTCTATATACTATGACTATAGCTATATTTACAACTACTAGTATCATTATTACTTTTACTACTCTATACTATCATCCAGGGACTGGACCATGCAGGACTTCCACAAGGCGCAACAGGTGCTTTCAATGCATGTGACTACTGGAGCAGCCGTTGCAGCAAGATCGAGCAAGTCCCCGCCCAGACCCTGGGGGGATCTGGGAATTAGAACCCCTTTAAGGGCTCCTAGAAACCCCAAGGGTTTAGAGTTTAGGATGTAGTTTTTAGGGTTTAGGATTCAGGATTTTGGGCTTAGGGTTTAGGATTTAGGGTTTGGGATTTAGGGTTTAGTAGTATAGGGCACCATATTGTGGGTTCTGTCCTCCCAGGGGTCTGGGATGGCATTTCAGCATCGGACCATGACAACAACACAACCCTTTCAGACAAGTGAGCTGAAGCATTTTCCTGGGTTGCTGTTAAAGTCCTTGATTTAAGCTACCATAAAATGGGCATATGCTAGATTAATAAGTTTCCTCGCTACGGCAGATTGATTTAAGTACATTAACAGCAACCCAGCATTTTCAACCCTACCGCGCTGCTGCAACTTCAAGCATTGGAAAATGGGTTGCGCACGGGTGGCGTAAATGGCAAGTGGCAACTGGGCGCTCCCATACCCTCAGCTGAAGCGGGTACTGCCCCGGGCGCAGGTTTCAGACCCTTTTGGGGTGTCTAGAATACTTGAACCCTAAACCCTAAACCCTAAATCCCATCCCCATATCACCCCAATATACTATAGTAGCTTCCATTTTATTTTCCGTTATCCCAATATAACCCCAAATATGAAATTTCTGTAGGTTTTTTCCTCACATGCGCGTTTGCATCCAGACCCCGAGGCCAGCTTACAATTGAGACTTCTTGTACTTCAACCTGGCTGGCTTACACCCTTTAAGGGCTCCTAGAAACCCGCCAAGGGCTTTGCATTTGGGGTTTAGGGTTCAGGATTTAGGGTTTAGGATTCAGGGTTTAGGATTTAGGGTTTAGGATTTAGGGCTTAGTAGTATAGGGCACCATATTGGGGGTTCTACCTTCTGGATGCTTGAAAGCAAAGCGCAAGAATCAGCATACTATTACCATCATTACTATAATGATCATTGCTATTAATAATTATTCAGTTGTTACTATTTAGTATATTAGAATATATCACTATAGTATATTATAATATCTGACGTCCAAACCACACCAAACCCTATCTCCACCCAATCCTTCCTGCACTGTAGTCCAAACTCCTTGAAGGGGCTATATAGGGGCTTATATAGGGGACTACTATGGGTGTTATTTAAGGGGGATACTATAGTGCAGATTTCTGAAGATGAGTCTAAAGAGAAAATGATGGCCGGTCTGGATCTTAGGGGCTCTATAGAGGCATATAGGGTTTTACAGGGGTTACATATGGATAATGGAAAGGGAAATGGAAACTACCATAATGGGTTATACAGGGGCTGGGGTCTGCATCTAAACCCTAAACCCTCACTATAAGCCCCAATATAACCCCTACATAATATAGTAGTTTCCATTTTCCTTTCCATTCTCCCTATGAACCCTAAACCCTAAACCCCAAACCCCCCACTGGCATGTCAGACCTCTTCGGCAAAGGGTCTTGAAAGCGCCGAGATGGCTGAGGAGATCACTTCCGAACTAAGGTTGAAACCATGGGGCCCCTAAGATCCTTATACACCTACAAAGAAGCCTAAGGGCCCAGGGTTTAGGGCTTTAGGGTTTAGCCTTTTTTGTAGCGCTCCTTGAGGGGTTTAGGGTTTACAGTTTAGGGGCCCATACTTCCAACCCTGGAGCCAAACTACCGGCGCTGAGGCGCGCTGGCGAGGGCCTGGCGGACGTCCATGTCAACGTACTCATCGAAGGGGCTCTGCATGGGCACGAGAGCAGGGTCTGCCCTATAGGAAAGAAGCCTGGGCTGCTGGGAATAGGGGTTTATGTAAGCATAATGGAAAAGAAAATGGAAACTACTATAGTATATAGTGGTTATATGGTATGGGGTATAGGGCCCAATGATGGAGAGGCAAATAGAAAATGAAATTGAAACTTGGTTATATAGGGGTTCCATGGTAGCTTTCCTAAAGAAATGGACCCCAACATACTATGATCCTTATTTACTACGGGAACCCCCAATAAGGTACCCCTAATTTTGTGAACCCCCATATTGGGTTCTATAGGAATAATGGAACAGAAGATGGAAGCTACTACATCATAATGGGGTATATATTGGGGTTGTTAAGGAACTTAAGTTATAATATGGCCGATAGTGACTGACACAGGGTTTCCTTGCTATAGCAATTGAAGAAAGTTCCTTAACAGCAACCCAGAAGCAGCTGCACAATGGCAAGTGGCTGACGGTCGGCGCGCACAGCGCAAAGCAAAGGCGACGTGCCATCAGCCGAAACAGCATTTGGACAAGCACGAGCTTTGAGAAGTACCTGGCAGTCTTCGTAATTCCCCAATTGCGAGGACCACATCAAAGCGTTCCAGCCATCTTGACTTGAAGCCTCAGTTGCCGTTTTCTTTTCCATTCCCATATAACCCCTATATACTCCCTATATACCCCTATATACCCCTATATACCCCTATATGCTACAGCAGACTTGAAGCCTCCGGCTGGGCTCGGGCTCGAAGCAAGGCAGTCAAGAGCGAACTGCCCCAGCCGTTCTGCCGACTACAGCAGGCTGCAGCAACCAGAGGCGGACGTCCCATGTTATCCTGGCTTGCTGTTAAGTAACTTAAATTAAGGTACCATAATGGGTATACAGATATATGTATATATAGTAACTAATATGATTTCCCCAATATAGTAACTTAAACTAACTTCCTTAACCGCAAGCCCAGTATCAGGTGACCACAAAGCTAGAACTGAGTTGGCAAAGGTGGAGTATGCTATAGCTCTTGCAACTTCGGAAGCTGCTGATCTGGTCGAACCAGTCGCTGCAAGGGCTGCCAAGCTAACAGCAATTCCACTATCCTGGGTTGCTGTTAAGGAACTTAGCTTAAGTTACTATATTTGGGGAAACCCCATTAGTTACTGTATATATATATATACCCATTATGGCAACTTATTTTAAGTTCCTTAACAGCAACCCAGTCTCTTGTAGCTGTGCAGCTATCCAATCGGAATCTTCAGCCGCAAGCTGCATGGCTTTCAGCCCGACTGCCTCTTGTGCACCTTTACAAATCAGCCGGCACCGACAGGCGGCTTCCAGTCCAAGATCCTTCAAGATCAAACCCAAGACATCCAACAGCGGCCAGTCCAAGTCGTTCTCGCACTGCTCGCACTGCTCGTGCTCTGCCTGATCGCCAAGCTCAGCCTCTGCTTCCGCATGCCGCTCGCAGCGACGTCGAAGATAGGCAGCCACAAGCACGCCAGCGATTCCAGCAAGGCCTACGGGGAGGATGACTTGACGATGCGATGCATGAAGCACTCCCATACCGAGAGATGGAGATGCGCTCAAAGGCTCGCTTGCACGTGTCCAGGGCAGATGGTGAGAAAGAGAATTGCAAACAGTGAGAGGTGCTTCAAGATGGGGCTGGGGAGCTGTTTATATCAAATGGGGAAGCATGCTGTGTTTCTTCTCTCTTATGCTTGAAAGGAGCAAGGCAGCTAAGACTTTCTTTTTCTGAGAGTCTTCATGGCAACAAGCAAGCAGAGCCTTGGGAGGTTCCAAAGAAACAGGGGGGGGGGTCCCTAGAAGACTATAGAAAAGCTTTTGCGGTCATGTATGAAAGAACCCTCATCTTTCCCCATAGGACCTTGAGGACCCCAAGTATATGGGCAATATGACACCATGCATAGGCCCCCTTAAGTAGATAGAATATGGCTTTGGGTAGATTACAATAAGGACCCCCATATAACCCATGTTCTATCTACTTCTACCTAAGGGGTACAATAGGGGTTCCCAGTACCTCTTGCGGAAGCACTCCTTTGCTAAACAAGGGAGACCCCAAGCCTTATACCCTATACCGTTACACCCCACAACCCTAAACCTTAAACCCCTACTAAACATTCGACCCTAAACCCCAAATACTGATTTCAATCTCATTTTCCATTATCCCTACATAACCCCTTAGAAGCTTCAGTAACTCAAAAAAGCTCTAAGCCCTAGACATAACCCCTATATAACCCGTATAACCCCTATATAATCCCTGTAGAATCCCATCTTTTTCACAGCTAGGCTAGGAAATGGCGCAGCTATCAGGCTGTAGCCGGCACAAAGCGAGTCACTCGGGGAGTTGAAATCGCAGATACCCCCCTCCAAGCCACACGCGCTTAAGGGGTTATTGAGGGGCTATATAGGGGTTATATGAGGGTTATATTTACCAGTTATATAAGGGTTATATAGGGGATAATGGAAAAAGTGGAAGCTACCATTTAGGGTTTAGGGCTTAAGTAGCCCTGATTATCCTTAAATGGGCTTAATTCAGGAACCTAGCAGAGGGCATAATCGAAGGGGGACCCATGACACATGGAAAGCTAAAAGGGCTTCTGCAAAGACTAGTGTCATCTAGCAAGACTAGATGGATTTCCATGTTGGCTTTGGGGAGGGTAGATTTGCGTCCCTATGCGACTCCGACAAAAATTTGGAGCCCTCTTTCTCTCACCCCGTGCAATTCAGGTAAGCCTCAGAGAAGCACAAGAAGCATGTCACGGCTCAAAGTGCTGCTTTGCGATCGCTCGAACCCCCCAAACTATCTAAACTATCTGAACCCCAACATCCTCAACAACCTAACGTAAGCAGCTCACGTTGCATAGAGCAGCTTACTCAAAGGGCGTTTACCACTACTAAGGTTCCAACCTGAATGTCGCAGGCACCACTGCTAACAGCCCTAGAGGCTTCTTAGCCAGCAGATACCTGCACTCTTCTGCAGAAACATAATTGGCGACTGCAAAAACTGCCACGCTGCTCGGGCGGTGCGCATACCGCCAGCAAGAGCAGTAAGGGTTGCACTAAGACTCCAAATTCATGTGATAACAACACTCTCAGGCTCATCCGCACCACGCCCGCTGAGCACTCTGAGGTGCGCGATGCCACAATTAAGGGCTTTTGACTTAGAGTGTGCCTTGCCGAGCACACTCATGCAGACCTCGAACAGATTGGTGCTCTGCAGCAGGTCATGGGTCGAGAACTGCGTTGTTGCAAAGTGTGCCTCAACTCGTCCCCAATGACCATCCCAAATGCAGACAAATCTAAACTGCATGACATGTCCCTTTCATGCACTGACATACACTACTTCCGGTTGAAGCACATGCCCTGCAAGCACCGCAGTGTCAAACTTACTGGCCGGGCCAGGGCCATGCTTCCTACAGTTCAAACATGGCGTGCCTACTGAGAAAGAGCACCTGTGCATGTCAAAATCTCGAAAACGCGAAGAAAAGCTGCACGACGTGCACAGGTACATCCCTGATGTGGCGCTGTGGCGCAAGCTGGCTTTGTGATTCACCTTCTGCCAGGCATGACCAACCTGCTCCTTGGATTGAAGATGTTAGCATAGAGTTGAGCGCGTGCCCGGCAGAAGCTCGCAGCCCTACGCCACAGCTCTATGGATATCTAATGTACCTCACCTACTGCTGTAGCAGGTTGAATGCAAGGCCGTTTCAGTGGCTTCAGACCGGCAGAACTGAAGTCTAGCCCATGGGTCAAATCCACAACTTTTGGTCCCCTGAGCCACTGCGCACCTTGCCGACTGCTGCGCATGCTTACAAACGCTCGTTGTCATCACTATGATCTCAAAGTTATCGGTGTGCACAACTTCAGAACTAACTCGCGGTCTGCCCTCCGCCCGTGTCGGCAGTCGGGACAGGTTGGAAGAGTAATTCAATTCAAAGCAGGTGAGATTCAAGCAGTGTGGAGCAGATACGCAATCAGCGCTCAGCCCGCCGATCAGCCCTGCAAGACAGGGAATGACATGGGCAGATCATCAAAAACAAAACCTGATGTAGCCGGCCTTGATGCCACCTTTGGCCCCCGCTCCTGAATTACTTTAAGAAGGCATGCCACACTGCTGGGATGCTGACGGCTCCTGCACCACCACGCCCTCCCGTCGCTGGTCCTGCCAGCCAGGAAGACCATAGCAAGCTAGGATGGCTGCTGTGGCCAAGAAATGGTGCCTGCACCATTGCCTCTTCTTCCTTTTTTCCTCTGCAGGCAGACAGCTGGCACTTGAAAGGCGTGCAGGGAACCGTGGCCGTAAAATTTATGATCATTCTTGCGCTAGTAGTAGTACGACTATTTTCTTCATAATATGAATTATTAATATCGAGACTACTATCATAAAAATATCTTTATGCCTCCGCCAGATTGCATGAAGTGAGGCGCTGACCGCTGGTTGGCACTGGCTGCCATGCCTGAAACAAAGCCATCGTTGGAGCCAAGAACTTGTGGGTGGACTATAGTACCATCAAAATACATACGTTAAAAGGGGATACCCGATACCCATCAATAGAGCCGCAAGAATCAATCCCAGTGAAACCCTCAACGCTGAGCCCAAGACCTTATACGATCAAACGCAAGTTTTCGTCGTGTGATGGCAGCATGGCACTACTCTGTGGCTCCGGCTGTCTGCATTGACGTTAGAGGCACCTGCGCAGGGCTCAAAGAAGTCTCCCCAGAGCAGGCTTTACTAGTAAAAACCTTGAATATGGGTTATACTGATACTACTACAGGAGGATTATTCTTGAATCAAAGCTTCAAGGCAACCAATAGAAGGGACAAACAAGCATTTAGCAGGCAGAGACAGCCTACCGGACCTTTTTTTGGGAACTTCGCAGGCCTGGAGAGGTCCTTATGTGAATCGATTTTGCCTTCTCTCAGTCCCAGCATGTCTGACCAATCCCTTAAGTAGATAGAATATCGGGTTTTATAGGGGTTATATAGGGATAATGGAAAAGAAAATGGAAACAGCTATATTACAATGAAATATATATTGGCGTTCTAGTGCCCCTTAAGTAGATAGAATATGGGGTATATGGGGATCTTATGATATTATACCCAAAGCCATGTTCTATCTACTTAAGGGGGACTATAAACCCTAAACCCTTACAGTACTTACAGCTTTGCTGGTTGCACAAGGAACATGACAACTACCCATGACTGGAGAGGGCCATCCGCTGCATCATGGATAGAAGTGCAGCAGGGCTTCCACAATGCCACCAGCAACCTCCCAGGAGTAGGGCAGGGGAATCACAAGTCTCGACACAGTGGTTATCTAAAGTTGGAACTATGGGCCTCTAGTATGGGCTCTGAATCTGAGGGTCCTTATAAACCCATTGTATACCCAACAAACCCTACAAACCCAATTAAAGGCCCATAGTTAGGAGCTTAGCCGTAGGGCCTCACGACCGGCAAACAGCATTGTGCTCCCATGGCTTGTCTTGAACCTGCCATGGCAGATATGCTCCGGCTCATGCAATAGAGGGGGCTCCTTAAGAAGGGTTTAAGGTGTAGGGCATTTTGAAAGTCCCTATAATCAGGCTTACTATATGTTGGGGGCCCCTATTTATGGAAGCCTCTAAACCCTCAACCCCCCCCCCTCCCCCCGGCCACCCCGCACAGAACATGCCAGGCACACTCGGCCCCTCTGCTCAGCTCCTTGGTTGGCGGGTCCGCAGCTGCGGTCATTGCCTGACTCAAGTGAGTAGTGTTTCTTGGTGGTGGAACCTAGGGTTTGGGGTTTAGGGTTTAGGGTTTTTTGGTGGCTGAACCTAGTAAGATTACAGGGGTTATATAGGGATAATGGAAAAGCAAATGGAAGCTACTATATTATAATAGGGTATATATTGGGGGGTATATTGGGGTTATATTAAATAATGGGTTTTTGGGTGGTTGAACCTAGTAAGGTTATATTCCTTATGTAAAGTACTATACCCCAAAAGGAGGGTATAATCTTACTCTATGTTGGGTACCATAGTATCCCCAACTAAAATACTACTCAAGTTAGGGTTTAGTCTTCTAGGTTTAGATCTGGGTTACAGGTGCTTCAAAAGGGTCATATAGGGATATTAGTAAATAAGGGGCTATCACCCCTTCAAAGGAAAAGAACATGGAAAACGACATGGAAACTTCTGTAGGGATTGGGGCTTAGGCGTTCCGGGCTTAGGGTTTTGGTGAAGGCAAGGAGATAATGTGGGTGTTGCCAGAAATTTGGGTCCCCCTGTGACCCCTAGACAACATCATCCCCACTATCAGGATCCCCAAAGCTGGACCCCTAGTTTTCAGCAACACCGCCGGGAAATCACCTGTTGTCAGACAAACCTTTTCAAAAAGCCATAAACTTTACGTATCCACGAACAAACCCTTAACAACGCAACAGTTTGTAAGAGGAATCAAGCAGCCACTGTGCCTCCACCAACTCTGGCAGAGCGTTGGCCACCATCACCTGGGTCGTTTTTGGTGGCTGGACGAATACCCAAACAGTTTAAGCTTTATAGAGT